TCCAGAAATACGAAAACTGCGATATTTTAGTAACTACTGAAGATAAATCACTCAAAATTGGTATTTACAATAATTTTTTGACAAAAAATAATAATATTATACATTTTTGGAAAATGGGCGTAGCCACGCCCACTTATGGTTACATGTGTATATCTTGGTAACCGCTGTACCAATTTCTACCAAACTTGGCACAGTTGTCGGCCTTCGTACAGCATACAAAATCGCCTAAAATTTTTAAAATCGGACGATAACCACGCCCACATCCCATATAACGGTAATTTAGAGAAATACAAAATCTTCGATAAATCAGTAAATATTGAAGCTAATTTGTTCAAAATTGATGCTTGCAACAATTCTTTACCAAGAAATACGTTTGTGATAAATTTTTGGAAAATGGGCGTGGCACCGCCCACTTATGATCACATATATATATCTCAGTAACCGTTCTACCAATTTGTACCAAACTCGGTGTGGTTATTGTGCTTGCCACATATAAGCAAACCGTTGAAAATTATTGAAATCGGACTAAAATAACGGCCGCTTCTCATATAACGGTAAATTTCAGAACTGCTTGAAACTTCAAAATTTCGAAATCTAAGGACTCTAATTTACTCAAAATTGATACGCCCCGGCTTACCATATAGCCGTAGCTTTCGGTAAGGCGAAAAACATATATTTAATACGTGCGCCGGGTATTTAATGTTCGGCTCTGCCCGAACTTAGGCTTTCTTACTTGTTTGTACATACATATGGAAAAAAGGCGCAATACAGTCAGAAAAAAAAATATCAAAAATCAGTGCGATTTTATAGCAACTTTAAACTTACTATCTCTTTTTTTTTGGTAGGGTAGCTTTAATATTATTCCATCAATGAATAATGATTTCAACCCCATTCAATTTGATTTAAAAGTGGCTTTGGTTGAAATTCAAACGGAAGTGAATTGCAGAAACTAGTCGAATAAAATATTTAAGAAAAATCTCCACGTACCCAGTTTTGCTCTGCAGTGTATGTGTACTTTTCTGAACTACACTGAACTCAAGTGTACATATCCACGAAAATTCCTGCGGCTAAAATCAATTTCCAGCATTTCTCATTTTCCGAGCAACAATTAACTGATCTCTTGCGGCATATCATACGCACATACCTGAATGTCTCTATGACAGCGTATACACACATCCGTATGTATGCACATACATAAGTCGCCATTCAGAGTATCACTCTTGTTTGGACGGTTTCCCTGAGGTGTAAATTTATTGCTTATCAATTACAGTTTAATTGAGCAAATGAGGAGCAAAATAGCTATAGATTACGACGAAACGAAAAATCATAATAAATTGGATAAAGGTAATTTAACACGAAGTATACAGAAAGAAATTTGAGTTGTAAAAACATATTTTTCGCCTTTTTTCTTTTCCCCTAACCCAACCGCTTTTCAATAATATTTAGCGCATTATTTTTCACAATCCATTCATACGTAAAGCTGTGATCTATCACCAACTGTGAACGAGATGAGTTGAAAGGTAACAGACGAGTTTCCAACTGATTTTTGACTTGCAATATTAACATTACTACATTCCCCCTCTCATCAGTGGCCCTATGGCTTATTGGCTTTTCGATCTATTTTACCTACAAACATACATACATACTTACATGCATATATAAGCACACAAATAGTCATCACCGCAAGGAAGACCAGCACACGTTCATCAATCGCTGACAAAACTTGCAACATCAGACGCAATCCGGGGAATGTGACAACAGTTGGTGCAGCTGTGATTTCTTCCACATCGTCGGGCAGTGCCGTTAACTCGACTTGTTGTTGCTCCAATGAGGCCTTCGTAGCAAGTAGATTGACAGTGTGTTTGTTACCCCAACCATTGTTGGCAAGCACTGGTATGCTTGTTGTTGTCATCGCAAATTTGATTGTTGTTGCATTGTCCAGCTCATGCGCAACTGCGGTTTGTTGGCTTATCGTCGTCGTTGTCAGCGTTGTCTTCGTTGTCTTCGTTGCCGGCGTCACATCTCTATTGCTTCGCACATTGAATTCAGCTTCGTCAACAATACGTGCCGTATGCCGCTGATAATGGTTCATATTCTTATTGTAGTTGCTGTTGTTATAAATCTTTTCATTGTTTTCTTCAGCTTCTGGGAAATCTGCGCCATCATTCGTTGCGGCTTCCGCTTCCATTTCCGCTTCACTTAACGCAAGCACTCTTGTCAATTGTTGGCTACTTTTAGCGGCTGAAGCTAAGCGCGCATCCTGTTGGTGGTCTACCCCCATCGGCGCAATTATATATCTTGATATCGCAGGAAGTTGTTGGTGTGACAAAGTTATCACATTCCAAGGCATACGCACGAAGTGGCTGTGATTTCGTTTACTTCGCGTCATTTTCGCAGTTTGGCCTTCTTTCGCTACCCTTTTGCTTGTGCTTGTATGGAAGGGCTCTAATCTTGATATTTGATTAGGTTTCTGTGTCTTCTTCTCGTTGTGATGTAATGATTTCAATCTAAATTTGAGAGAAACGAAAAAAGTAGAAAAAGGTAATAAATAACGGTTGTGTATAAGCGTAAATAAATGAACGCACTCGGTCATATGTCTTTATATGGAAATAGTAATAAATTAAATTAAATTTTGGCGTGCTCGCTTCATAGAGATTAGAAGGTATTGTATTTACATAAATGCCTACATACATATTTGTATGTATAAATACGAATACCATTGTTCTTGTGTTATTAATTTAAAATTTTTCGAATATTTGGTAAAACCTAAAAACGTCCCTCTAACAGCAGGGCACCAAATTCACTGGTATCCATGGAAAGTAAATTGTATTCATAGGCGGATGTTGAGAAAATAAAGAAAAATTAATAAGAGCTCCCACATTCGTAATTTCTTGAAACGAAACTGCAATAATTCCCCGTTTTCGCAACTAGATATCCTTGTGCACGCGTACCCTCAACGGACCAACTCTGGCATCGCTATCTACAGTATTTTTGGGCAGAAAACCCACGTATAAATGTAGACGATCTTCGGCCTTCTTATTTTTGCGGCAGTTCCATATGTCAATTCGAGCAATCTAAAGGGTTTAAAAATATACAAAAATCGTATTTCATTTGATTTAATCGAACTATACTCTTTTCAATGAAACAATCAGTAACAAGATCAGGTTATTTCAAATAGAATAGCGCTTAAAAAATGTATGCCCAAATGGCAGCCAAGTGAACCTTTATAGTAGAAACCTGTCCGTAGACTTATTTTCGGAAACGTTGCAATGTCCAGTGAGTCAAACTAACAGAGCTAGTCTTTCGAAAGACAATTGTCAATTCTGGGAACTGTCTTGAAAGCTCTTTTCTCGTGTTCGAAGGGCTAATTTAAAGGTCTGCTAACTAAATTAATAAAATACATATATTTTTCTTGTTAAAACAATAAAAACTATTAAATAAAAAAAATTAAATTAGGAAAGGAAAAAATATTAAAAAATAAACGAAATTAAAATAAATGTCCTTCATCTATTTAAACCAAAATCTAAAACTTGAATTAGAAAAAGAAAAAAATAAGAATAGTTCAAAAAAGAAGAAAATAGTACTTCAAAATTGAAAGAAAATTAAATTATGTATAAAACAAAATCTACAAATGAAAAGAAAGTTTAATTAAAAAAGGACAAAAAATAATATCCTAAAAAATTAAATGAAATAAAAGAAGAATTTTTTTTAATTAAGATCTAAAAAATAAGAGCAAATTAAGTTAACAAAAGAAGAACAAACTCAATAAAAAAAAAAACAAAAAAAATAAAATAATTTTCTAAAAATTAAATGAATTAAAAAAACATATTTTTCGGTTTAATCAATAAAATGTAAAAGTTAAAAGAGAATTGTATTATAAGTGACAAAAATTGTATTAAAAAAAGAAAAAAAATTAGATAATTTAGATAAAACTGGAAAAGACTTTCAAAGGCAAATAGATACATTTAAAAAATTTATAAATATCTCAGAAAACGTATGTTCCAACTGTGCATTCCATTTTGTAGCCATTAGCGTACAGTTGTTATATAAAGGCAGAGGTATCAATGCCAGTCGGCCCACGATGCGAAAAGAACCTCGAAATCTATGTGAAGTTATATTTCAAGTCGTGTGTTACCTATGTCCTTCCGTATCCGCCCGATCGTTTTTTCTTGCCATACACCCAATTATCTGAGCCATAAAGCAGACGCTGAATCAGTGTACATTATGTGAAGATATATAGGAAATTGATTTGTAAGAACATTGCAAAAATCATTAGTTCAACTTTCAAGGTATCAGTATGATGTCTAGATTGCTCAGCTCATTGGCCTTAAAACTTCTTGTTCAACGGAAATTACACCGTTACTCAAATTATGAATTTAATGGTAGAGCCTACTACTTCGACTTCCTTTGGTTAAATTTTAGAACAACTGCATGAGGCGCCGTCACAGTTGATCGTCCTACTAAGTATGCATTATGTACCTCGCGCATACGAACGCCATTGAAAGTTTTGAGAGCAATGAAATTTAACCTGACACCGTAGCTTAGACATTGGTTTCTGGATAATGGGATCAAAACTACTTTCACTCGCCGTCAATACAAGGGAACGTAGTGAAATTTATATAAAAACACGGACATAATTGTAGCCTTTACGACTTGCAGGATCGTCGGGGGGATTTCGCCTGGACTATGTATTTTGTAAGACGAGAATAACTTTGATACAAGTTCCGCTATAAGGTGATCTTCAGCACATCACTTTATTAAGGCCTTCGAGCAAGAGGAGTATTAATAAGCAACTTGAGCGAGTTCATAACGGATCGTACTTATGACTGATGGAACACCAATAACCTACTTAGCCTCAGCGAAAGCTGTGCTAACGGCATTTTTCATCAATGATGGTTTTTTATATCAATGATACTATTTTAGTAAGAGACATTCGTCAGAAGACTTATAATTAATTCACAAAATATGGAGTAATCTGATAACATCAAATGATAAAACAAGTTACTCCAAATGTCAGACAATGTAAGGCTTTAACATTTGCAAAAGCTTCAACAGAACTAAAAATATTATTTTTGTTCCTTTTTTTAAGTTCACTTTTCATGCAGAGGTCACCCAAACTCATAACAAAAGTAAAAATAGTAAAAGCCAAAATAAAATCAAAGAGAATTTCAGCAAACGAAATTGAAATGAACTGACTTTTACTAGTTCACTATTTGCTTTTTGTTGTTGTGAAACGTCTACAAACATTTTTTTTAATACTTTAAACATGATGTGGGTATAAATAAATAATTCAACACTCACGAAATTAATTCAGATAGTAAGTGAGAAACGAGGGGCTGAAGCCTGAAGCTGACAGAAGAGAAAGGAGGCTGGGGTGGAGAAAGTAAATGAGCAACATGAAAAATAAATGGCATTTGCTAGGTGGTATTTAAATGAAAATGAATATTTTCATTTTACAAGATTACCGTTTGCGTTGACGACAGCAAGCGTAGCTATGTTAGTTGATATGCTTACATACATAGGCATATATTAACAGCATACACACATACTCACCCTTTAGAAAAGAAGCGTTTTTGTTAAGTACAATGGTGAGAGCATGTGTAAATTAGACCGGATCGATGCATTTACAAAATAAAAAAAAAGTTGTAATTCACCAGCAACCGCACATCCATATACTTTAAAAATATAGTTAAGCTCTATTAGGATGTGGAAAAGGCAAAAATTATTAGGACTTCTCGAAATGAACTTTCAAGCTACCAACCTTGTACCTGTACATCCCATTGCTCTCTGCTATTTCGTTGAAGTACAACTTCTTCTCTTTATAGAGAACAACAGTTAATTAAATATTTGAATTTGCATATTTCCGGTCTTATATGTTGAGCTTACGCTCAACCTACCTTCCCACTGCACAGTGTTCCGTCTAGAACAAGCTAACTGGACAAAATTATTTTCTAAGATTTTACGTTTCCTCTATATCCAAGAACTCAATTTATGTAATTTTATTAACAAAAGGAACATTTTTTAAGAGGGTTGCCACCTGTTGAAAAAGTAAAATTCAGTTTTAATAATAAAATATGACAGTATAGGTGTCAAACGAAAGAGGATTAAAAAAATATTATTTCGGTTGCCACCCTTCTAAAAGCCCAAATTGGATTATATAAAATATTTTAATAAAATATTACAATATGGGTATCAAACGAAAGAGGTTTAAGAGATCTTTAGTTTGAAGAAGGCTATCAATGGAAAATCAATTAAATCTATGAATTTATACCTTTATCTTCCTATGCTTATTTGAATTTGTAAGGAAAAACTAAGTGAACTTTTCAATGCAACGCCTCAGTAAATCGCTTAGAACAAGCTAGCTGGACAAAAATATTTTCTGAGATTTTTCGTTTCATATCGTTGGCTGAGTGGCAGATCGACCTATCTCGGCAGCCAGTTCGAAAACGCCCTATCTCAGAAAAATTTTCAACAACGCCCTGTCTCAGAAAACTTTTCAAGAACGCCCTACTTCAGAATTTTTTTGAAAAACACCCCATCTCAGAATTTGGTTGAATAACGCCCTATCTGAGAATTCGGTTCAAAAACGCCCTATCTCGAACGAAAATACATTGAAAATAAGCTGAGATAGGGCGTTCTTGAAAAGTTTTCTGAGATAGGGCGTTTTTCAACCGTTTTTCCGTCAATCATTGTTAGGAGCATATTGTGGTTCACAGAAACCTCGTATTCTTGCACCAAGCACTTTGTTGGCAACAAAGCATTTATCTCCTCTAATACTTTGTTCGTCTCAGAAACGATAAAATCTTTTGTTTCTTTGGAAAAAATAAATTTAATTGGACGACAATACATCGTAGAAGAAGGTCGAGGATTCTGCCAAACAATGTTACCTTTTTCGTCCCGTAATTGGACGGGTACGAAAGAAAATATAAACAAAAACTCATCAGTGTCATCACTGCATGTGAATTTTTGTTTATATGTGCTATGACCAGAACTTCCATCGCAACCCCACTTGCTGATTAGAGTAAATGACAAGCATGTAGGTAACAAACTACTAAGAACTTCTTGATTTGCTAAAATTAAACGTTCAACACTTTTATCTAAAATAGCTTGAACTTTAATTTCGGCACGTGTTTCATCCACATCAATTTTGTTTGGATAACACTCTGATTTAGCCTTTCTTACACTGTAAAACGACGGAAATACCTTATGACCTGCTTGGATACTCCACTTCCGAGTCATTTTGTACGCATGAGTAGTCGACTTGCTATCTACATAGTATGCTAAAGCTTCTACACTGCTCAAACATCTAGCACTTTGCTCACATATTGTTTTCGCCGTGGATACTTTAGTGTTAACTTTCGCATTTTTTATAATATTTGCAATATTCCTGTTGCCGGACATACGTGTTGATACTTCTGCCGCATAAATTAACTCATCTGCACTTCTGGACTGCAGTAAGTCATCCACTCGACGCCGTTTAGTTTTTTGACTGGTTTGAATGAAGTCCTTCTTTAGTCTCCCAGGGCCTGGGTTACCTTAAGATGTAGCTGGTAGTTCTGATGGCAAGTTTAAATGTACAGAAACTGTAAAAGTCATATCTGTACCCGAAAACCACTCCGAGTTTTTATTTATAAACCGTCCCCGATGTCTTCCAGAGCTCTTCCATTTCTCAGAAAGCCTTGACGAATATGCCGCAACTTTTATGGTTAAATCTCTTAAAGAATGCTCCGTTACTTCACTTAAATCATATTTTGATAGAACAAAATTTAATAACTCTTTATTTCTTGATTGTTTCGAATATTTCAACCAAACTTCGAAAAACTCAATTCTTTTTATGGTTATAACTAAATCTGAAAAAAATAAAATAAAATAGATGTGCACTGAATTCGCAATGGTTTTTTGTTTCGAGTGTTAACAGATACTCATGACTATAATATATATAAGATTTCAAGGGGTTACATGAGGAGACATATAACTTTTCCACCTCTGAAGTTGAAAATGTATATAAAAAATCGTTTTTTTCTTAATCATGGAATGTTAGACATACTAAAAATAATCAAATTGACAAAAGATTATAATCAAAAACTTCAGCTTACCTTTGAGTTCAGATTCCATCACAAAAATTAAGTAGAAGTGGTGACTTAAAGTTATATGAAGCGTAATATTCAAACAAAATTTTTCAAATAAATCAGTTCTGACTTCGACTGCTCTTGCTTACTTACTTCAATTACTCAACATATTAGAAGTGAAAATAACAAACAAGCGTAAATACCCCGTTATATTGGTCTTATGATTAATTACTCAATACAAAATTCTAGGAATAAAACTTTTGTTTTTGGCCACCTAGCTTGTTCTACACGAAACACTGTGCACTGGCCCAATTTTTTTATTTTGTACCAATAGCCCAATATAAAAATGCACAAATCTGTACAAATGTACCAGTCGAGTGACACTGCCTTAAAAATTTATGCACTTAAAAAATATAAATTCAAGAAATTTTCGTAAAAAAATATAAATTCAAGAAAATTTCGGTAAATTCTTAATTAGATTCGGAGTATGCAGTTTTGTAGCGCATTGAATTCCAGTAGAAAAAAGTACAAGTTGATGTTTTAAAATTTTTAGAAAGCTCGAAATTTGTACGAAAGTTTGTTGAATCTTTTTAGTATTGCAAAAAGTTGGTAACTTGGATTTACGCGGGTTTTGTTAAAGAAAAAAATTCCCAAAATTATATAACAACAAAAATAATACGTTCAAACTTGGCAAAAAGTGGTTCAGCTATAATATTTTGACCACTGTTTGTATTTTTTTATATATTTAATTGGACATGCACATTGTACATAAAGGTATGTACATACAAAAATTAAAAAGTAATATCTTTTTTTGCCTTTTTTCAACGCTCATTAAAATTATTGTTATTAAGATGTTTTTATCGGAGAGGCTACATTCCGGGATGGGTCAGCAAAGTAGTATTTTTGACTCGTACACAAGCATTTTAAATAATAAAGTATTTTAATATGCCCATCACTGTGCGAGTCTAGCATGGAACAAACAATTTGCCTAAGGGTCAAAACATAGTGGAGCGGCGACAAAGCGAAGAGCGAGCATCGAGAAAAGCTCCAATTACAAAAGTTGTATGTACGCTTTGCTCTGCACTATGCGTTCTCCCATTGAAACATATGCGTTTGAAATCGACGCTTTGCTCGCCGCTCCACTATGTTTTGACCCTAAGAGGGATTTTCAATGAAAACAATCGCTCTTTTCGTGCAGTAATTTTTCACAAAATATTTTGCGTGTTATTAAACTTTTTTTATTGAAATTGTCCAACTGGAGTAACGGCCTTGAGCTAAAATTGAATTATTGTCTGATATTTTGTTATGTCTTTTCTCTGATTTAACACCCCTTTTACGCATAACAGCAATAAAAAAAAAAGCAATGCAGCATTTCTCTTTTCATTTCCCTCTACACCCTTTTTATTTTAGTTGATTTCTTTTTCACAGCCTTAAATGCCAGTCCTTTTATGGAATTTACGCTTGACAACTAATATTTATTGACATCTCTGCGGCATTTTGAAGCTTATCGCTGAAATTTATGCGTGGCACATGAACGGCATTCAACTAACTTCATACCAATGGATATTGTTTGTGCAACAGCATGAAAACACAAATTGATTTTTCATATCGCAGAACTCATAAATTTTTAATATAAAAATATGTGCCGCTGAGTAGAGAAAAATCTTTACACTGCTGGTATGCTCAGTGGAGTTGAGTTTCCAAGATTTTTAGAGTAACTGAAAAAGAAGTTAAGAAGGAGTGGAATTTTATGCATATGTATGTATGGATTAGTGCAACAAGAGTGCGTTTTTACGTAAATTTGGGCACATAAATAGTAAGTTTACGGGAATCGGCTGATTTTCGGAAAACCGTGGAATTTATTTTCTTTTCACCGAGGCGATTCTTTTTTTGCATGAAGCGATTTTACAGGCCATTTCGTTTACGGCATCAACTATGACCAAGCTATGAACTATCAGAGAATTTTAAGTCTATAACTCGTAAATTTAACGCTTGCTTTGCCCTTGGCCTCAAATGTCAAACTGATGTTTAGAACCTTATTTTGAAAGAAAGTATGTCCTTGGCCTACTTAAAAGTAAACTATGGCGAGATCTGTCTTGATGAACTCAATCAGAAATTTTAGTTTTGAAAGCACCAAGACATTTAGTTAAACTACTGTCGGCTGGCATGTGTAGTGTGTCGTTAGATAATTTTTATTTTAGGGACTATTATACCGAGGTTTCAAGAAGGCCAGATTAAAAAAAAAAATTACATAGCGACGCGCATATCAAATCAGATTCGGTAAGGCCACTACACAAAAGGCCTCAAAAGCCGCTATTTATTTCAAGTAATTTTTCATTAATGCTAGATTACAAATATGAGGGTATGAGAATTTCATATTACTTCTTATTTGTCTCTACAACTGTATGTCGATTTGACCCGAGTCCAGCAATCTTCGCCAATTGCCCCTCTCAATTGTGGATTCGCGCAACTTGTTCATCCCGTCCATTTTGTTCGTGGCTCCATTTCCCTCGCTGTACAGCCATGGGCACCGAGTAGGGTAACCAACACCTTTGAGGTGCTCAGACCCCGAGATTAAAAGAAGAGAATTATAGTTTTTTTCTCTTTTGCTGTTTTTTTTTAACTTTTGTTAACAAAACTTTAAATGAACAAACAATACTTTAACCCTGAAACGTCTACTTATTTTACCAATTTTTTCTTTGGAGGAAAAAATAATTATTCGATGAAAAAACAACAAATTTATACAAAGTGTAAACCTTTTATAAACCCTGAGATTTTTGCGGCAAACCCTGAGCCCCGATATTTGATCGAATGCTCTATAATCTCAGGGTGAAAATGGCAATCTGGCAACACTAGTGGCGAGTGGAAGGATCTTTTCAGTAGATGCTCATCATCTATACGTAAAACATGCTCAATAGTTGTATTTTTATGCGTTGAAATATGTAAATGTCGTTAAAAAGCTCGTTCAGTTCGTCATTCCATATCCGTCGGTACCCGCGGCCCACGGGAACAGGGCCTAAACTTGCGTAGAATTGTTAATTTTTGTTCGTTGAGAGTGGGCTCTGCTTTTAAATTTTCTGCCCAGCAAGAGGCATTTTTTGTTTTATCTCCACTCAGTCTATCTCCCTTGTCGGTGGTGTTGTCATGAAGACTGAATTTTCCCACTGTTGGAGCAAGTATGCCTTCTTTACCCACCTAAGCGTTAAAGTCGCAAAGCAAAATTTTAACATCGTGGCGGGGCAGCGCGCATATTCTTTCTCCAGGCGCTCGTAGAACTGCCTTTTAGTTTCATTGTTCTTCCCCTCCGTCGGGGGGGGGGGGGGGTATTTATCTTATTTGGCATATTTTGGCAAATTGGTTCACTGATGAAACCCGGACACCCGATTACCCGGGTATTTCCCAGCGGTTTTATTACCCGATTTTACCGGGTAATATACATATATTAGTGCCAGTTAAACAAAGAACACCCGGGAATAGAAAAGAAAAAGTTTCTTTCTAAGAGCGGTCGCCCCTCGGCAGGCAATGGCAAAACTGCGAGTATATTTCGGAGTCGGCGTAACACTGTAGATCCCTCCCCTTTGTATGAGAACATCAAGGTGCACGCCAAAAATCGGAGGAGAAACTCTGCCAAGCACTAACATATTGTGTTAGCGCCAATCTATATACTATTATTAGGGCTGTGCGATTAATTGATTATTTAAAATTTTAATTTATCATAAAGTAAATAACTCAATTATTCGGTTAATTGATAACTTGATTGATAAAAGTTCCCTGATACATTGAAAACAACGTTTTTGTTTTCAAAAATAAAAATTAAATATTTTTTTGAGTAATCATATTTCAAGTAACTCGATTAATCATCGTTTTGAGTAATCAAACTCTTGTCCGAATAACTGATTAACCAACTTGCTCGAGTAATCGAATAATCGCACAGCCCTAATTATTTTTATTATACCGAAAAATTTGATTTTATTTTTAATTTTTTGAGTTTTCAAAAAGAAAGCTTTATATGGGCAACTCTGTATATGTACACACTATAGTGTTTAAATAGTGATTTTTTTGTGTAGTTACAATTTTTTTATTACTCCCCTTATACGATGTAAACCGTGTTTTCAATTATAGTTTATGCTCGACAAATTAAAAAAAAAACAGCACATTTTGCAACGCGTATTTGTTGTAATATTTGTTGTAAAACATGCAATATTAAAAAAAACCCAACGTTAATGCAATTCAAATGCCACTTACCTGGAACGCTTGAAGCGATGTAACTTCGGCCAATGAGTATGATGATATTTGCGCTTAAGGCGTTTAAATGCTACAGGCGGTTGTAGTCGCCGCAACTGCGAAGAACTCGCCCGCCAGTTGACAGCGTGCGCGACGTGTGCGGCGTGCGCTCCCAGGCTATGCAGCTGCTGGCTGCCATGATGTGTGAACGTCAGCAGTGGAGCGGTAAAAACTTGCGGGTCACGCCAGTCTTGCGCCGCATAGGGCAGATAAGTTGATGATTTTGTGGAAATAGGCGGTGCAATAGTGGTAAATGGGCGTAATGGTGGTAATGTAGCTGGTAATACTGTGGGCGTTGTTGTGGGAGTTTGTTTGAATGCCGCACTTGCCACAAAATGTTGTGCGCTAATTTTCGTTGTCGTGCCTAAGCCATCGACAACATCGCCGGCAATAATGTGTTCCACTACCGGTAATGTTGAGCGTCTGCTCAGAGCAGCGCCACTTGCGGCTGGTTGTTGGCTTAAGAGCTGTGCAGCCGTCGCCGCTGCCGCTGCCGTCGTCACCTGCCGATAGCCCATTTCCGTTAATGGCAAGACTGAGGTTGCGGCTATTATGCTGCCATTACTGACTCCATTGCCGCTTTCACCGCTATTGCCACTTTCACTTTGCATACCATTAACCACATTGTTGCTCGTCGTATCGTTCGTTGTGGCAAAAATTGTTGCAGCCGTGTTGCGACGTATCTGCAATGTGGTGAACACAATTTGTGCACTCGACAAAGCCACTATCAACGCCAGCAGCAACGCCAAAATGTGTGTCGTATTACTCTGATTCATGCGCAGAAAATAACGCTGATAAAGCATTTCCACCTGCAACGAGAGGTCAAACGCGGTGTGATGAGTGTTAAAGTGGAAAAGTTGGCGAATAAAAAAATAATGCAATGTGGAATTAAAAGCGTGGAAAACAATTTCAACGGCGAGTGCTTTTGTTGTGCGGCCCGCTATGTCGGCCGATGAGCTGAGCTTTCTCAATGAAGTTAGATGACGTGAAATTGTCGGTAAAATATTTACGCAACCAGCTACTTGACTAACCAACTAAATAACAAGATAGACACTTTTACACTATGGACTATGGAAGATTGAAGTGGAGTGTAAGTAAGTAATTTAATGGAATGTGAAGTAATTTAATGGAATGTGAAGCAATTTAATGGAATGATTATACTTATTATGCCGGAGAGAACATAGCAATTCTAAAAACAAGTCTATAGACACAGCGCTTCAGCAAATCGTCACTCTAATTAACAAAACGCTCCAACCATACTCTGCCAGAAAACAATAATAAATTCATTGCAAGCTGGATTTTTGCAACTTTGATATGATTTATGCGATTTTTCTTAAAAGAAGAACCAAATATAGAAAAAAAATAACTCTATTTTCGGAGTGACCAAGCAATTTTACATAGGAGTTGGAAAGCGGAATCCATGGAACAAAAAAAAACCTCAAATTTGTGATCCAGTGTAGTAATTTCTAATGTGAAAAAATTTATCCTATATTTCTTCTTATCGCTGCAGTCCCTAATTACAGCGGTGTACATGGCGTATGAGCTACTTCTGCAAACACACTTCACTTGCATAATGAAATCAAGTACTCATTAACACCCACTTCAGTTGCCTACGGTTTGCTAGCACGATATCGTGCTAATTTCTATAATACACTGAATGCAAACGCTAAATAGCCCCAAAGGAGCACGCATGTATGTACATACATATGTGTGTCTGTGCTTGTGGTCGCAGCAAATAAACAAGGGGTGGTGCGAGCCTATTATCCTTTCACGAGACAAACAATATGAACACATTCAACAAACTTAATTACATTGGCGAACGTACGAGTTGAATGCGAAAATTGGATTGGCGAAGTTCAACCTCATTGTAAATGTGTATGTCTGCAATAACGACACAACTCAAAAAACCCCTTCCAACTGAGCAGTGAACACATGCCTTTAATCCTTATCTTATTCATTTATAATCTTTACTAAATTATGACTGCTTTAGTAAGGAAATAAAGGCAGGATAACCATTTGTTTAGTTAAACTAATTTTGGATAGCTGATTCCGAATGTTGATATTTCGTTGCGCTTTAGTTTACGAAATTGGCATACAGCGAGCGGCAGCTACACATGCTGCAAGAATGGTTCGCAGAGTGTTTTTAGCCTCATCCTTTCGAGGGCTGGGTGCACAGGAAGTGTTCCACTGTCTCTTTTGAGTCCCGGTCATCGCAACCTATTGAACCTATTGAAGGGCGGTCCCATCCCAACGGGCCAGTGCCCTGTGCACACCTTAGTAAGTAGGGGTATGCATCTTACTTGCTCATTCCTAAGAGAGCTTTGGTTTTAAGTGGGACGTAGGACACCCAGAGCTGCCGGGCCATCCTGTAAGATCCCGTGCGGTTCCACCTCTGCTTGGCCTTCGCGTGATAAATTTCGTTAATTTTTGTCTTATTCTACCCTAGCCAGGCGCCCATATCCAGCCGCTGACTCGTTTCCGTAAATATCCCCAGGTAACTTCGTATTGATCTGAAACATAGACCAGCTCTCTCCTACATTCATCCACTAGTTGAGATCTAACAGAGGTAAAATAGAGTGCCTAAATGTCCGCTTGGCTATCCAGAAGATATTCACCAGCATTCTCGCATTCTCCTTAATTGCAAACGCTTCGGCCTGGAAAATGCTTGCATAGTCTGGTAGGCATTCCATCTTTGACCCATCCGTAAAGACAGTTAAGCCCTGCAAGAACTGGACCTTTCCTTGATTCCAGTCACTGCGGCTAGAGAATTTCGTTCGGCGTTTATGGTGAACCCAGGTCCTCGACAGGATATAGTTAGTGGGTAGCGCTTTAATTTCAGGCGATAGAATGTCTAGGGTGGAACCGTGCGCGCATAATATTTCCTTCCAGAACTCCTGGGCGTTCAGTCTGATGACGCTGTTAGTTGCTGAGGGGAGAGCAGTAAACTAGCAAATAAACAGGTGAATCTCTATGTATCGAGTCAAGCTATGATAAAGCCGCTACTATCGCACAGTACTTCCTCAAAAAGTGTGGCGTGTTGCAAGGCAGCGGGGCATACCCGTGTCACGGGCAAAGAGGAGGCCGACCGGCGTGCCAAAGAAAGCGATTTGTTGGAAACTATGCTTATAAAGCAGGTCCCGATTTCCCTGCACGGGAGACGCAGATGGTGAGGGCCAAAACGCAAGGTGTTCAGTAGCAGATCAGAGCATATGCCACAAAGCTCACGCAGTTTCTTCTTTCCCTTAATTGGGAGGACGCAAGACTGCTGGTGGGTGTTCTAAAGGGTAGTTTCCTGCTGGCATTGCATGCCTTTAAACTTATTCTGGACAAAGGAAAGAGTAGAGTGCGGAGAATGTCCTCTTCGGGTGTCCTGAATTAGTCTCCAGAGAGTAGACTTTCTGCCTAATCTGGAATCTGCCATTAAGAAGGAGTACAACAAGGTATTCCAGTTTGCCAAGAGGACGGCGATGATCTTCAAAATAGCTCCTAGTACCCAGTCATTAGCTCTCTAATGTGATCCAAGTTTATCTGGTATCGCTATGGGTTTTAATGAACTCTGCAAAGTCACGCCACCTAACCTAGCCTCAGAAAATATGTCGAAACATTTGCCCTAAGTGCGACCTTTTATCTGGCATACATTCAAAAAGAATAAAGTCAAGGCGAATTCACACAAGATGGTAGCAGGAGTACAAAAACATAAAATTATAATAAACACAGCATTTTGACATTAATTACAGCCGCGGCGAAATTTCCACTGTTCCGACAATACCACCTTGTATAAATTCAACTTGAAATTTTTATTTTGTTGGTTCCCATGTAATTTTGTTCTTGCATGCAGGAGGTTTTTTTAATTACGCTGTTTTCCCTGCCAAATGGCACCATAGCCTTAGTAAACTCAAAAAAAACGCCAAAACAGTTATAGCCCTAATGTACATGTATACTATATATGTATGTACATGTATGCATACCTAAGGTGTAAGCACTGATTTTACAAAATACGTAAGATGAAGAAACCCTCTCAAATGGCAACTTCAGAAATCTAACTGCCACTTTAAGTTATTAATTCAGCACTAAAGAGGAAATCCAATTTAAATGGATATTGAAAATAACCCTAAAAGTTTTGCGAAACATTTCACTTTCCAATTTGTGCATTCTCATTCACTCAACAGCAATTCATTAACTCCCGATTGCCAGTTGGCAATTTGCATACGTACACATTAGCCACAGCACTTCAACTTTTTCTGGTACCCAATACTCACTTCGTTTATAAATAGTTACTGCCTTTCGAATTTGCATACTTTTCACCTAAGTAGTCCCAATAGTGCTAAGTATATTATTGGACGAGCGGGTTCGCCATACATACACGGGCACATACCCACGTATAAGTACTCGTACATACCTGTAGATTTTTAAATTGATGTGTTGTACATAGCCGCAGGATAACCCGATTCAATCGAAACCAAAATGAAATTGTCGGACTGAGGCCACCAGCACCACCACCTCCAGGGCCATTCGCCGCATTACTGCCCACCTCTGTGTTACGACCATCCATCGAATCGGAATCTGTAGAGCGAGAAAAAAGTAAAAAATAAAGGTAAATTGTGTAGTTAAGAAAAAATGGTTACATGGCTTAGACATGTTCTTATACGTATAGTATGCATATGTTTATTTAAGTATGTACCTATGTAGCACCTATGTTCACCCATGGGTTGGGCATTTACTAATTCAGTTTATTGAACAAATCTTCACATATCGCAAAGTCACGTTCGCTTTGAAGTGCATATAAGTGGATGGGGGTGAGATGTCGGAAATAGATTGAAAATCTAAATTTTTAGAAATGAATGACGGAAATGCAATTCAAAATGGGGCTTGGGGTCGCCTCCACATTTTCAGAAATGTTTTTTTTCGGTTTTATTTGAGCTACTATTTATGTAGTGCTTATGGGCAAACGGGCTAGGTTATGTTAGATTATATAGCTACTTCCAAAAAAGGAGACATACATACATCTGATACCATAGAGAATTCGGTAAGGAGTCAAATAGAAATGATAAAGCGGAGAGGAGAATGCAATCTTGAACATTTACTTGCAAACTAATGAATCCGTATGACGTTAAAATGACAAAATCATTGCTCAAAAAATTCCACCTCATAGAAGAAATTATCGAAAAATTCGAAAAAAAGTTTTTGCATAAAACCAATTCAAATTACATCGTAAAACAAGTAAATTAATATTGTTTTAAACAACAACTTTTTACTTATTCAAAAAATTTTTAATTTTTGTGTTCACTTTAAATTAAAACTTTCTTAAAAATTTTTCATTTAACACCAGTACTGAAATATCGCACAAAATTTTGTATTTACCAAGGCAACTCTGACAACTTTCTTTCAACTCACCAACATTTTTTCGAAAGGTAAAAGTCTGTCGTGAGACAATTGTCAATTCTGGCACCTATCTTGAAAGTTCTTTACCGTCTTTCGAAAGACTAATTGAAAGGTCTAACGGGGAGGTCAAAGGCTAAAAACAAGCAAAGCTTCAATTACAAACGTGTATGTACGCTTTGCTCTTCTCTATGCGCTCTCCCATTGAAAACATATACATACATATATACGTTTGTACTCGACTCTTTGCTCGATGCTCTTTGCTCGCCGCACCACTATGTGTTTAGCATTAGGGTAATAATGATCGCCATTTAGCAGTAAGTTTTTCGTAAATTAAATTAACTTTAAAATATATACATTTTTTTTTTTTAAGGAGCAAGTTAAATTTAAAAAAAATATAAAAAATTTTAAATAAGGTAAAAATAAATAAACAGTGCTTAAAAATTTTATTTGAAAAAAAAAAATATTTTTAAAACAAAATCTTCAAATTACTAGAAGATTCAATCAAGAAAATCCAAAAAAACGGCCCTAAAAATTAAAAAAATCGTATGTAATTAAACAAATCTTTTTTAAACAAAATCCGAAAATTAAGAGAAAATTAAACTAACAACATAAGAAAATAAATATCGATAACAAAATCGAAAAGTTATCGATAACCAAATCGACAAAAAGTCGATAAAAATGTCGAGAGCAAAATCGACAACGAAAATCGATTAGAAAATCGGTAAAAACATCGATAACAAAATCGATAACAATATCGACAACAAAACCGATAAAAAATATCTATTATTATATCGATAAGTCCCGATAATCCCGAAAGTCTCTAAAATCCCAAAATAGTTCCCAGATTGAGTCTCTGTGTCTCTATCTATGTACATATATCCTTTTCCCTATAATTACCTTCATCTTAATCTTTCTTCCTCTATCTTCATCTTTACTGTTTTCACTATCCTCATCCTCATCTTTTTCTTTATATTTATCTTTGTTTTTACTTTTATGTTTATAATTTTTCTTCATCTACATACATATTCCCCTTCAACTTTGCCCTTATATATATAAGTAAAGTGTTTAAATTTACCTTGGTCTTCATTTTTGCCTTTATCTTTACGCATCTTTGTTTTTGTTTTTATTTTTACCTTTGCCTTTATCCGTTTCTTTATCTATGTACGTACTCTAAGTGTTATTCTTTATCTTTTTATTAGCAAGTTTTTGTTGGATTAATAACACACATTCAAGAACCACTTGTTTCCGTCCCAACCATTTCCGTTGCACAATTTCCGTTGCACCATTTCCGTGTGCAATTTCCGTTGAATTTGCCAATTTACTACCAACTAGCCAACCGTATATTGATGTATATTTTGTATGTATACAAGAATTTATGTAGCTTTCTTCATGGGAGTCTCATTTTGTCATGGTGCGCCATTTGCATCAAGTCGCATAGTGTCTGGGAAAGATTTTTGCATGAACTTGACCAGCCTTTGCAGCGCAGTTTCTGTGGCCTTTTACTGGGCATGTTGATCATTAGATAGCGCTTGATTTTAATAAAAGGGATGATTGGCTAATAGGTGTCTGAAGCCTTTGGTCGGAATGTACCAAAGATAAATTTAAAACAGGTCCTCAACCTTATCGAGAGGCAATTTATAGAAGTTTAAAGAAAATAATTTCTACATAAAAAATATCAAATATACATATACATACTACTTTTCGCTTAATTTATTTTTCTTTTATTGGTATTTGATATAACAGACAGACTGAAGCAAGCTACAAACAGTAGTCCCCAAACTATTTAAGCCCTTCATACCATTAATTCGAAAATATTTGTTTATGTTATATGGCTTCGGTTCGACATTGCATATTTTCATAATACACAAACTTCCTAGAATTACATATAAGCATATCAACAATAATCTAAAGGGAAATATAATACTTTCCCAAACAATATGTCAAGCAAATGTAAAGTGGGTGAAAACTCAGAAATTTGATTACGTATACGCCCAGCACAACAGGGCAGCTGTACGCTAGGTATGCAATGCAACAAGCTCAGATTGGGATATGCAATGCATAAAATGAAGTAAGCATGTGTGGGTTTAGAATTTCTCTCTGTTGAAATGTATGTAAATGCACATGTACAATGTATGAGGCAAAAAATGGGATAGAAGTATATTACATAATGCATACCCCTACGAGTAAATATATGCATATGTATACAATTTTGTTGAAACTTTCATTAAGCAAACAAAAGCACATGTGCAGTATCTGGGCTAAAACATCACAAAAACTGAAAGGATAAGCAAGAAGCTTTACATACATATGTACATATATGTTTATAAGTATATACGAGATGACGGTTAGCAAAATTGCTAATGCACATTTCAAATACATACATATTTGCTTTATGCAACACTGTATCCTGCCTTGCAAAGTCTACTAATCTCTGCACAAAGGCTGTTGCGTTAATTGGCATATGTACATATGCATGTGTATCTACTAAGCCTACTGTCCGTTGAGTTTTAATTTTATTTACAGGAAAAGTGATCTCTGTCATTTATGTGCATATGTAGTAAGTTTGAGAGAGATGAGGAAGCAATTGGGTAAATTAAAATTCAATCAGAAAATATAACCGTAATTTGCTGTAAAAACACTAATAAATCTAAACTCAAAAACCGGAAGGAAAATGCCTTTGCAAACATATTTGCGCAAACTAGCTCATATTCATGGACATTTTCCGTTACAGTTTGGCTATTCATATCATTCGAGCAGAACATTGTTTGCATATTAATATAGTGTCTACAACAACAACGACGACACATGACATGCTACTACTATGCAAGGACAATAGCATATTGTTAACTACCGAATATATTGTCAAATCGTGTTACGGATATGAATTAGTTGAAGATGCATATCGCTTAGATACGCATGCGTGCATAGCAAGCAAATTTGTTGAGGTAAGCGAATTGATGCATGTGTTGATGCGTTTGTACTATGAATGAATCCAACCTGATTTTCATTTTCACTTCATAGAATGTAAATTTGAAATTTGAGCTTATTCAGGTGTAAAATAAGCATTTGGGGCGGTTGTTTGGTATTTTCGGCAATATTCTCCTTAGCAATTGATGTTAGTGGAGAATGAGAAGCGAAAAAACATAGTGCGTGTAGTCCCTAACAAGGACTCCCAACGAGCGGAAGAAGTTTAATTTCATAGAAAAAATTCTAGAAACGAAGAAGTTTGCAATATATTTTGTAATATACAGATGCGATCAACTACTTAGCAACGAAGTTCAAAAAAAAAAGAATTTTATCATATGTTATATGGAAGAAAATGCGCAACACCCTCCATAAAAAAGATTCTAAAAAATCAACGTTAATTTTTAACGACTAAAAACTTCCACTTTCTTATACTACAATTGAATGGGCTACCGAACTGCATACCCGAAAATTTTCAAAATATTCAAATTAAAGACTTTGAATTTTGATGAAAATTTTTTGGAGTTGGATAAATGTTTTTGCAATTCGTGCAAGCTTTTATACTTTGATTATTGTCGCCTCTGTTATAGATTGAATTATATTTTGAATGAAAATTTTTAAAAATAAATAAATAAACATAATTTGCAAACAATATCATATTGAATTTCGTTGCTAATTAGCTATTCGCATGTTTAATTCCCCAGGAATAAAAATTACTATATGCTAAAGAAAGGAGAAAACTAGGTTCAATTTTATTAATTTTCGCCCGAATTCAGTGCACTTGACAAATAGTTAGAAAAAACTGCGCCTAAAACTACGCCACAAAAACTAAACTTTAAGCGATTTAGAAAAGAAATAAAATTTATAATTATTTTAAAATATAGTCAAATTCTGGGCATAGTTTAGGCGCAGTTTTTTATGACAAAATTGAGGGGCTATGTGTATGTATGTATTCATGTATATAATTCATAAATCTAAATAACTTACGAATATAAAAATTGTCTATGATAAGAAGCGAGGAAAATTAAAATCTATGTAGATTGCATTATTGCACTTAAAATTATTAGTTTAAATCATTTTTCTTACGTAGTGAGTAACGATGCCCATTTAAGTGGATATGTATAATATACAACGAACATTCATGAATTGTTTACATGCATGCATACATAACTCTAACTCTGTAGATACAAATTTTTCCCAAATATGTAAATATGTATTTGTCTGAGAGGCAAATGGTGCGCTGTTCGCATTGTTCACATTACAATGACATTGTAATGCAATGTGAAAAATGTTTATGTAACTTGTTTTGGCTTCATATATAATGCATTTTCAGCTTTATGTTCTTTGTTTTGAAAACACGAATTCACTGTAGCGTGGAAAAGTTTATTTGTAGTGCATAAATATCACATGCCAACTTGTCAGCTATTTTTTGCAATTTTCCCAAATATGTTCACTTACTTTGTTGCAGCAAATGTGCTTCGTCACGCTGATAAACCATGGGGCTTGGGCATGTTGAACTGGAATTGGTGGAATCGATTGATTCATCTATGTTGCAGCGTGTTATGCCAGCCTGAAAGAGTAAAATAATATTTTATATATTATCTAGTGATATATTTAATGCATAGCTGTTTTTGTTAAAATACTTGGAATGAAAAATTAAAAATTTTAAATTTGCATATTCCTTAGGCAGGGATCACATGATTTGTACATTTGGGAAGATATTTGTACATTTTGGCATTCACAGAGTGGTGTCGTGGAGAAATTTTTATCGAGAATGGGTTCAGCTCAGAAAAAATGTCTAAACAATTCCTCTCTGTTACTAAATAAGAAAGTGTGCAAATCTATAAAAATCGTGTGATTCCTGCTTTATAATAAGCTAACTATTTAACATTAAATTACAGGAAATAATCAAAGTTGTAATCAAGACTATACATAGCAACACAAGCTGAAAATTGCCGTCAAACACTTTAAGAAATTTTTAGTAATTGGCTGATAGATCTTCAGATCCTTGTAAATTGCATATTCTGTTGTGAATTGTTAGATATTGCTTGATGTAAGACATACTTCGTATTTCTAAGACACTCTAATTCAACTGGCGTTTTTAACAGGGACCGTAACAGTTACAACTTCTATTTAAAACAAGTAAGAAAGTCTAAGTTCGGGCAGAGCCGAACATTAAATACCCGGCGCACGTATTAAATATATGTTTTTCGCCTTACCGAAAGCTACGGCTACATGGTAAGCCGGGGCGTATCAATTTTGAGTAAATTAGAGTCCTTAAATTTCGATTTTGAAGTTTCAAGCAGTTCTGAAATTTACCGTTATATGAGAAGCGGCCGTTATTTTAGTCCGATTTCAACCACACCGAGTTTGGTACAAATTGGTAGAACGGTTACTGAGATATATATATGTGATCATAAGTGGGCGGTGCCACGCCCATTTTCCAAAAATTTATCACAAACGTATTTCTTGGTAAAGAATTGTTGCAAGCATCAATTTTGAACAAATTAGCTTCAATATTTACTGATTTATCGAAGATTTTGTATTTCTCTAAATTACCGTTATATGGGATGTGGGCGTGGTTATCGTCCGATTTTAAAAATTTTCGGCGATTTTGTATGCTGTACCAAGGCCGATAACTGTGCCAAGTTTGGTAGAAATTGGTACAGCGGTTACCAAGATATACACATGTAACCATAAGTGGGCGTGGCTACGCCCATTTTCCAAAAATGTATAATATTCTTATTTTTTGTCAAAAAATTATTGTAAATACCAATTTTGAGTGCTTTATCTTCAGTAGTTACTAAAATATCGCAGTTTTCGTATTTCTGGA